AAACTTTTCAGTATCAATACAAGAGGAATCTGTATTTGATTAATATACAGATCATGATACAAACATTGTTTTATTAAATTTTTGTATAATTAATTGTTGGTATTACAAAACATGACATGAAAACAGTACGATAAAGCTGAATAAACATTGAAATGAACAAGTTGGAAACTTTCCATTTGTGTGTGAATAGTAAAATGCCTTGTAGGAGTGTCCAGCAGTAATTCGTCAAAAGATTTGGTGACAATCTTCCCTTTTATCAGCTTTTCAGTGCAGCGGTATGACGGTGAAATTGCTCATAATGCCTGTTATTCACACAAGATTAGGTGGGAAGAAAACGAAATGAGAATAAAGGAGATGGAATTTTGGAGACATGATGCACCCCTATAGCCTTCTAACAGCCCAGCAAGTGTCCCGCCAATTCCTTGTAATTCTGGGGCATTACGTCTCCAAAGAAATTGTCACAAATGTTACATCTTTCAATGCAAGCGAAGATGCATTCGCAGCAACTGTCAACAACTGTTCGAAAGGAATATTTTTCCTCAGGTCACAATTCTGACAACCAATGACTATCTTTCCTTTAATTACTGCAGTAAATTGCAGGGAATTTAGACGATGAAAATTAAAATATGTGGCCAACTTTGTGTATTGCTTTCACAAAATTGTTGATATAGTATAATTTTAGTTGGAGTTTTGATAACAGGTCATTGTCTTTGTGAATAAGGGGTTCATGCGATACATTTTTTCACGAGAATTGAAAATTTCTCTCCAAGACCATTCTTTGGATACATAATGCTCTTTCCTTGCCCCGCTATTGCACTGACGCGGGCGAAGAAACAACAAAATGTTTTTATACCAGTCTGCATTCCTAGAAGAACACAGACGCCATTTTTCCGAATTGTGTATTATCTCAAATATTGTAAGCAGACCTTTTATGTCATTGCAATATACCAATCACTCTGTCATTGAGAAATAGTGGAAAGATCAGGCTGTGGTTTACGGAATGTGATACTAATATTTGGTTGTAAAAATATATTTTTTTGAACTCGAGACCCAAATAATTCTGCTTGTCCCTTTGAAGATCTAAATCTCTTAAAAGATCGTTCATCTCTGCTGCGACAATGAGTGTGGTTGTATCCCTGCTGCAGTTGGCGAGTAATCAATATTTTCATGATCTTCGTGAACTTTTGGTTTGTTCACACCATCGTCTGTACATCTTACATTGTCTTTTCCGTTGGTGGTTTTAGTTGGTGGTTGCAGATTCCAAATTTGGATAAAAAACTGTATGTTTTGATTTACATGAGATTTTTCTTACTTTCGATGAACAGAAGTAGAAATCTGTAATGTGGTGTGTAGATTCCCTTCACAACTGTTGTACGGCAAATGACATAGATGGATGGTTCTATGCAACCAGCCTATTAAATAGCGGGGGCAACGCGAGCAACAGTTTTGTGGTGCCCAACATTTACCCTCATTTACCTTTGATTAAATATAAACTCATACGCCTTTTTGACGCGACTCAAAATAGGATGTCTTCGAGACTTAGTCATAAACTCGTCACAAACAGAAAAGATGTGGTGAATTAACACACTTCTTAGACATCGCTGAGTATAAGAAAAATGCGAACACGCACAAACAATATTCTTCACTTAAGCGAATTTACGCATTTCAAGAATAAATAGTGGGTGATCTCGCTATCGATTGACTGATGCAACTACAAATTTCCTTGACTTACCCCAAGTGATTGTATCTCTAATCCCACCACTAGGCAATAATATTCCTAAAATAAAAGAATGTGATAAGCGCTGAGACAACATATACGTAAATAACGCAGCCCAGTGCAGGTAAAATTGCATTTCCAGAAGAAAGTTTAGGTGAAAGCGAACAATAGTTTTCACCACTGTTATCAGGGCACTGAACTAAATCACAATCACATAGTTTTCTTCTGCGTCAGATTTCATTGTCGCACTGTGTAATAAAAATTTCATAATGCCATACATCTCTTTCACACGGGCTGCATAGTTAAGAGGAAGTCTTGGTTTCCCATTTCCAATACGAATAAGCACGGCTTTTAAACTGAGTTTAGAGGAATCTATAAACAACCTGCATTCCGTAGGTTTATTATGGTCACCCCACACAGAAATGGATCAACATAAGAACAATACACTAAATTGCATTCTTCAGAGAACAGGCAGCGAAGGTGTTGGTTCCGTCGACGAACGACAGTAATTGTAGTTCCCTTCTGAAGGAGTTTCCAACCTTTTAATCGGAACGCCAACAATTCTGCTCGATTCTTTGACAAGCTTAGATCACGACCTGGATCAATAAGTTCCGACTGATTGATTCTATGAAGTTCTGTAGACGTTTCGCATAAATCTGGATCTTCAGCGTCGTCCTTTTCAGTTCGTACTTACATTTAAATCTCCGTAGTTTTGAAAATTTAAATTCGAAATTTTTGGCGCTGGGTTAGAAAGTCGACGCTGTGAGAAACGTACCTGATTAGCGAAGAGATATTGTGACATTGACTAGTCTTCTTGTTTGCTTGTGATTCCAAGAACTATGGTGAATGCTGAAATTTATAGGGAGTGATCATTTTATTCCCTCCATACCATGGGAATTACAAATATCATATGTAACGAATATCCCCTTAATCCAATCACTATGTAATTTTATACAAGTACCACAGCAAATATGAGAGGCTCACGGTTTGCCCTGATAACTGATTCAACATCCGAAATACAATTCAAATGATTTTCTTATCAAAGGTAGTAATATTCTTTCTGTGGCTTTTCAAAGTTACCTCACCACACACATAACAGAAATTGTTTGCATGATTTACACATTATCATGGCGTTGCACATAATATGTTCGTGAAAAGTTAACATTCGAACGAAAGGTGAAGATGAGTCGTACACTACTCAGTAATTTCAACACCTTTTTCACTCGACACGCAGGGCGCAAGTAACGTGAAGTGGCTCATGTCCACAACGCGACGAGGCGCGTGGTGTACGAGTCACCGCACTCCACTTCGCAACACATGAAGTTGTTCAACTGCTTTCACCGGCCTGGCGTGTATTTCATACCTTTAGTGAAATATACAATATTTTACGATAACACATGTATAAGGCGGAACATGAAGGTTCCTTCAAAAACATTCCGTTTGGCAGGTTTCCGTCTTATCGAGGGTTGACAAAACTTCATCATAACTGAAGTACAGTATTTTTGATATAATTTTGCCAGTAAAACAAATTAATGAAAATAAATCATAATTTATCAATTAAAATATTGCAAGAAATAAAAATAATAACAGAAAAACACAGAGGAAGTATGTGACAAGCATTTATTCCGCATTTTATCAAAAAATTTTACATATGTAGAATATGCTACGCTGGAATGACGAGATAGAATTGCCGAAATTCCATTGTCGGCTGAAGGGAATGTGATGATGCTTTTGAGAATTGAACTGGGTGCGGACGGCCAACGTAGAGACAGGGATTCAGAGAGAGAGCCAAGAAGTCGCGAAAATCACACCAAAGCATGAAAGTCCACAGGAATCAGAGGAAAAATCATTTATTCTATTATCTTAGGACATGCCCTTCACACTGTCATTCCAAAGATAATAGTGGAAATTTAAAAATAAATTTCCGTCTTAGGAAGGTAATAATCACTTTATTTTTCTAAAAATTTCCGTTTTCGCGTTGGACATGATTCCGACCTATAGTGGTTGTTTTCACAAAAAAAGGTCGTTATTTTCTGAGATTTGTTGTCCGGGAAGGTAGGTTTCCGTTTTACAAAGGTTCTATTATAGACTTGGTTTACTCTATTACATCGTTGGCGACCAACATCTTGTAATAAACCTACAAGAAACCACAGTTTCGGCATAAACGATACGTGGCTATCAGGGAAATGTATATCGTTTCAGTATGTATGAGATTACACAAAAACTGTGCTCGGGGACAACTTTTGTGGTTGTATTTAACTACATAATAAACAACTAAAGTTAGCAAAATCGCTTTATTAATTATTAATACGAAAACGGGAGTATGAAATACGATTCAGAGGGGGGATATGGAAGGCCTATCCACATCAGTCTCCAGATTAAGAAATAGTTCCACCTGTAATTTTAGTAATGATAAGATTTAACGGTAATTTTTATTTCTTTTTAACATATTTTATTCATACACAACTCTTTTTAGAAAAGAAATGGTGGTATTTGCCGACATAGCCTCATCTGTTATTACCGCAAGAGGTGACTCAAGGCATCAACTGATGTCAGTCAATGCAGTGCCTCTGACCAAGGAAATAAAATGCATAACATTTACGTCACCAACGATTTTAGTCGTTGACGCGCCGGGAATATCGAACAACCAATCAATTTATGTGTTATTTAACCCACAAGTGACTGAAGACATTGACTAGGCCAAATTAAATCATTGCATTCTTTTGACTTCCCAATTCAGCACCACTAGAACTAAATTATTGAAATTCATTGATTACTTCGTGTTTCCGGGCGCGGTGTCATTAGTGTAGTGCACGCTTTATCAATGTATGTGCCTGTAATCTTCACCTGCTGGTTGATGTACCGCAGATGTAGGGTTATCCCTATCCAGGTATCTCCCCAAGGTGGGGCATTGCCCCAGCCAGTACAAACTCTAACCTCCCGACAAGTGTGGTAGTGTAGTGCATATAAAGGTATGAGCGATGCGGATTGGTTAAGAAAGAGGAAGGAAAGATTGTGCGCGCCCCGTGGCCTATTTGTTAGGTACTGATCCGGCATGAGTGAGTTGTTGATCGGAAAATCCACGGAAAATCTACCGATCAAAGCAACCAGCCTCTAGAATTCTCGTTTATACCGCACCTGAATTCGATCCATCCATGTAGCTGTGTCGAAAATCTTACCACCGTCGGGACTGGAACCCTTGGACCTACCGGTCGGAGGAACTGCAGTGACATCGTTGTTCATGATTAAGATATAATATATCGCAAGTGCAGAAGTACTGTACCTCTTCACCTGGCGAAGGGGTCGCATATCTGTGCGGCTTTGACTCGTGTTGTTGGCAGCGATGCTGCTGCGATACCGTCACCTGCGAAGCCATCTTGGTTCAAGAGAATTTGTGCGATGATGTGAGCGGCTCGCGTCGGAATGTTTAATGATGAGCAGATGTAGAATAGATGACTGCTTGTCACGATAGAAGTTAATGCCCTGTAAAAAAGTTAATGATGAAGTGCATGCTAACTTTCCGTAATTAAATACATACTATATACACAATCCTACATCGGTTACGCCGTACTCAAGGCCACACGGATTCTTTCCATGAAGTACGTAGAACATTTTAATTTTTTTAAATGGCTCCAATTGTTTTCTTTGGTTTCTTTCTTTAAGTTTTACCCCTAAGTTTCATTATAAAATATACACACATCCAATTTTAAATAAAACTCTTAAAGTTATAAAAATTGCTAAAATTCGAATTTTGTGGACCCATTTTTCGGGTTTACAACTTCACTTTTGAAGACTAGCTGAATTCATGCAAAACCTCTGCACTTTATAATTGTTTTGACACTGGAAATTACTTCATAGTAGTTACAATTACTGTAAAAGCATTGTAGGACCGGTACTGTGCAAGAGTAACCATTCCATTATTCCTTTGCATTGAGACTAGGATCTCCAAAACCATCAAACAGTTCCTTTAATTTAACATTATGCTTTTAAGGCTCTAGGATACCACGTTTCCTATCAATGAGTGATTATAATGTGTTGCTAAACTCTACCTTCTATATCAAAATCTGCAAACTACAAGTTTTTTATCTTAAATCTGTTGGATTTAAGCAAAAGCAACTGGCAAAAACAGGTCTCAAAAGACACAAATCAGAAATGCATGAGAAGACTATAACACCACCTCGCTTAGTGACGTGAATCAAATCATGATTTATAGAAGTGTAATGTATGTAAAAAATTTTAATGAATATTGCAACGTAATCAAAACTGGTAATGAATTATGCAGCTTATGTAAAAGTGGCATGTTTAACATAAGCACGAATCTGTAATATCCAAATTATGGAAATGTAAAAAAGTTTCCAAGTGTATTGATTGTATGACCTCTAGATAATGAATTTAGATATAAGAATACTGCAACATAAAGTATAAAGAAAATGATAGAAACTAAAAGATCGTCAAATATTACCTGCACAAGCGGGAAGCTCTTGCCAGTGACTGAAGAAATGTAAACTTGAATAATAATAATAATAATAAGTAAATAAATAAATAAATAAATAAATAAATAAATAAATAAATAAATAAATAAATAAATAAATAAATAAATAAAGTGTCTAATTGGGGGCGGGTTAATCCGACTTTTACCAACTGTCCTCAGTTCTGAGCCTTGTTTTCAATTATTATCCACGCCTGAGAGTAATGGAGACTTGTGGCGAGCAAGTCTTTTCCTTTCACCATATCTAGCTGTCTTGGCCTCTCTGATTTTTTTCTTTCAGCTTACAGCTATAGAAACTGAGACGATTGTAATAGAAAGCTATACTTCTATTTTTACCCTGACCGAAAATCAAATCCGTGAGCGAATCAGGAAAGCGTTATTTCTAAAATTTGCAAATTTCTAAAGTTCAGGACGTGCTGTGAAAATGAGACCTGTGCCATTTTAAAGCTTCTTTTGCTCTAGATCAAAATAATTAAAGAAACAATTTTGAGTACTTTTTGAGAATTTATTTAAAAAAATGCATTAACTTCAACAATAAATTACGAAAACTTCTTGTTTTCTCAAAGAACTGTGAAAGGATTGAATTAAAAATCTGTTTTGTTACAAGAGATTTCGTTTAAGAAAAAATCTATATCAATGTGTACTTTTGCCATGTTTTTTTTTTAATTTTTGAAGATAGGCAGTTCGCTGAAAATGGTACTAACAACACTTTTTTATCTTTTTATGTATATGAGGGGAAAAAATATTGGAGCCACTTTGAGAAAATAATTGTTTAAAAATTTCCTATATCTCACGCAAAATTATGAGAAGACTACTCATATTTTGGACAAATTGTAGGCCACGTATATCACATCTGTCATTAATGAACATATTTTACAAAAATACTTATACATTTTTCTGTTGAAGAAGGACACACAAACATTTTTTTACTCTTCCATTTTTTTTAAATTTAGAGATTTTAATGTAAATGAGATCGTCGCCAATTTAAGCGTTCCTTACGCTTTTGATGAAGAAGCGTATTTTGATAAAAATAGGAGGCATTTTTGGGAAGATTTAAAAACAGTTAAGTCTTGATGTACAATATCCCAGATCATTAAAATTTTCATTGCAAACACGCAGAACATTTAGTTCTTTTAAAATGATAGGGAAATACCAAGTTTGGAGAAAATCGTCTGAACTGTGCAGGCGCTGGCGTTAACACATTCATGGCCGGCCGGCATGAGAGACGGACTAACGAACTGACATAGTTAGGCAAGAAAGTAAGTCGTGTATGCTGGCAGCGGTTATACGAGTATCCTGTGCAAAAAACACTGCAAGAATTGCAATTTCAGTCTGCTAATGTCACTGCTAATATTGCAACTTCTACAAATATTTCAGACATCATTTGAAAATGTCGTAACCAAACGAAGCGCGAGTTCTATCGTACTATCGTCTATCGTTCTATCGTACATCTTTTTTCTTGGTTTCTGATTTATTATTATTATTATTATTATTATTATTATTATTATTATTATTATTATTATTATTATTATTGCTCTGGTCACATACATGGTCAATAAGTCTCGTAATTGGAATTAAGTCTCACCATCTAAATCACTGAACTAGTATGTATCACTATACTCAGCCATTTCGAAGTTGTTTGACTATCATGAGACATATTAGACAGTCACTTCAGACAATAGACGTCACTTCCACCTCTTCTTCCTCCAATACAATGACGACTCGTAACTTACAAATCACTTGTACAGCCATTAAATGGTGGGCACATGAACTTTGACTCACGACATTTGTGCGAAAAAAAATGAAGAAAAAACTTACTTTTAATATCAAAACATAAGTTTGAGAAAGCGGCACGACTTTTCCATTCAAGAGATCATATTTTAAACCGTTAAAAAGACAAAAGTATTTTAATAGTGAATAACTTAATCTTCAAAAGAAATGAACCATTAGCGAACCTGTAGAATAGCAAAACTAGTGCACAAACAGAAGGATGTAATTGCACTAGTGTTATGTTCAAGAAACCGACCGACGATTGGAGCGAGTTTAGCGAGAAAGCATTTATGATGAATGCAATTATACGCCATTAAACACGTGATACAATTCAATATTTTTTCGTTTTCATTTAAGAATAATTTTAATTTTGAGAAACACAACTCGAGGAGAACATTCGACATCATATTCTTTCTGAATGAAACACATTTTAGTGAACATTGCATTCTGTATTTATTATCACTAATGTGACATAGAGAAAAGGAAGAAGTATAGAAATGGAAGATATTAATTACAATCCAGATCAAAAATTAGAAGCTGAGAAAGTAAAGCCATCAATTTTCATTGCGGAAGTTACTACACATACGTATGAGAGAGAAAACAATATTTATACATCTTGGAAAAGCGAATCACTTCTGATTCATAAGAACTTTTTCTTGCATACGGAAGTTTTACTCTCTGGTATAAGTATATCCCTTTATCTACTTTCAGTACGTAGTATATTCGTGTATACGTAGTACAGAGAAAATTATGTAACGGTGCGAATAATCGATTTCGAGATTTCAACGGAAATACGTTTTGGCCTCCCCTGATATTGAAAAAGTGTTTTCATTCCACACGTCCGTCCGTCTGTGAACAACACTAGAGCTTAAACTGTGCATAGGGTTTTGAAAAATGGATATTTTCGGTCGATCTGGCTCGAATCGAACTTTTGCGATTTTTTAAATTTTGGAGGTAATCATGAAACCCTTGTGTCATTTCAAAATTTTCTAAAAAATGGCTGCATTCTTCCCTTTAAATTAGTTTGTAAGAATAGTTTGAAATACAGTTCTTATGATGGCATAGATCCGATTTTCACTGTTCACTCTGAAATTTCGGAAATTGCAAAAGTTTGAATTTTCTACAAATACAATATAGAAAAAAGGGATTTTGCCTTAAAAATATTTCTCTTCATAACTAATATTTTCATTAATGTTATGTACCTTTTTTAAAAATTGTGAGTTTTCGCGCAATATTGCCTTAAATATGTGCAATATTAAAAATTTCATACCCAAGAATTTCTCAAAACATATTTCAAATCTGTTTTCAAAACTTGTTAGGTTTAGTGCTAAATATACTGTTAAAATGACATAAACGCCATTTTTCTGAATTCTTTTGATTTTCAAAAATTACACAATTGTATTTTTTTGACATTTCTCTTACGACCTTAATATTTACAATATCAGCGATTTGAATACACTACTGCATTTGCGAGTACATGTTTTCAAATGATGTCTAATTCAGATTCTGAAAAACCAAAAGTTTTGTGAAAAAGAGCTTAGAAGTTTGCAGAAAAGACTTAGAAGTAAGGTTTAAACAACATTTTCTTAAAAGCGGCTGCAAATTTTTTAACAATCATTTCCATATAAAACGAGATTTTACTCTTTTCTAATATTCTTAACTTCGGTTCTACCATTAGAAAAGAGATAAATTGAGAATATTTATAACAAACTTGTAGTTTGGGTGGCGATAGATGGCAGTTGGTAAGAGCAAGGAGGGGTGGAGTGTTGGCATATCTGGGTCCGACTGGCAGATAGCAGCTGGCAAGAGTGGGTAGGGCAACACCGAAAAGCCAGCGCAGACCAAAGAAATTCGAAAATTAACTAGTAGTAACTAGTAACGAGAAAGTCTGTGCCATTTTGTAGCACCATTAATTTCGTCCTTTATTCTTTACGACAGAAATTATTTTTTTTCGTCACATAGAAGGCTTAATGAAATGGGGCAGATCACATTTTTATTGAACGAGCATTTTCGAAATGTGCTAAAGTTCCAATTAAGGTGAGTCAATATGAACTGATGTTGCGCTATTTTTTTAATACTATTATTGAGTTAAATGCAGGATTTTTACTCTTTTCCTGATCTCTGATTGGTAGATGCGAATTTTAATTCCACACGTGCATTATTACTGTGTTTAAGATATTCCACGATTTTTAATGGAATTAATGCGTACGGTTAATTTACTAAATGAAACATATATTTATCGCTATGCGAAAACTTTGTTTCTTAAACTAATTTCATTAAATTATTGTATTTGGTAATTTTAATACAAAATAACTGTAAATTCTTTTGAAAGAGCTTGCACAAACATTTCATATTTTCTAAATATTTCTAAAAGATATTAGGTTCGCTCTTCTCGGTTGTGAAAAAAAATTGAATGTACGTGTCAATATTTAATTTAATTTAGTCTTTGCTTTGTTATCTTTGTTTCTTGAATTCTTATAATTAATTCCTTTCTTTCCTTTCACATAATTTCGCTACAAACAGTGACAAGATGACATCCACTAGTCAAATTGAACTAACAAAGAAAAAAAAACGAATGTATCGGGGGAAGTTAAGACCTGAATTTTTTTAAAGGCGTTGAGCACCAAAATTGTATTAGTATTTTGTTTATTGAAATAATTTAATTTAATATATTTACACGTTTGGTTGCAAATATCATCAATAACAATATCTACATCGTGAAGTACTTAAGTGTCTCTCACTTGCATGGTATCTTATTAGAAAATTAAAACAAAATTGTAACTCTGGCGTTCAGAGAATTAAAGTTCACTAGTTTTAAATTTAAATTAACTTTATTTTTGATTAAATTAAATGTAATCAGCTAGTTATCGAAAAGTTTAAACACATCTATCAACCCATAAACTGAGATTAATTTGCTTTCCGAAAAATGTTTCGATGCAGAAAATGGCTTTGTAGAAATCGGATCCGTATAGATCAGGCCTACTCAAGTGGACGGCCCAATTAGGAGCCCACCCTGGCTCAGGGCTCATATCTAGGCCACCGGTGGGACTCGAGTACCTTGAGTGAAGTTTCTCACTCAGCAGCGGGCGACGCTTCTGAGGCCAGCTCTCACAAATCGCTGTCTGATTGTGCGAAAGTGTTGAGGTCTCTGCGGCGGCTGCACTCACAACTGCCGCCATCCTTGTCCCAGGGGTATTTATACGCTACAAAGCACGGCGCTCTCCGTTGACCGAGCGTCAATAGCCTTCTGGCGTCAGACGTGATTATCACATACGGCGCAGTCGCATGACCTGCACATTACAATAACATTGGCTTTTGTATCGTGCATTTGCGTTTCATGGGAAATTGCAAGAAGTAAATTAAATGTCTTCGTTATTGCTTCACAGTTATTTAAAATGAACTTTACCGGTTTAGGTGACTCAGGGAATGAATTGATGCCACTGCCGTCTGAGCGAGAGGTCGTAGGGTCCGAGCCCCAACGGTGCCAGGATTTTCTACATAGCTAAGTCGAATCAAGCCGCTGTCTGGAGGACAATTCTAGCGGCCTGCTGCTATGATTGTTAGTTTTCCGTAGTTTCTCCGATCAACACCAGACAAATGCCAAAGGAGTACCCTATCAAACGGACCACGCGCGATCTTTACTTCCCTTTCCTAGTCCTAGCCTCCCTCCCACACATCCTCACATCCACTGCACTACTTCATTTGTTGAAAGACCCGTCGGGAGCTTGGAGCTTGTCCTGCGCTGCTGGGACACACCTGGTTAGGGAAAACCCTCAATGCCGACGAGTAGGTCGGCGCCGGAATCTCACCATCCAGTGGGAGAACATCACAAGAAAAAATACACTACACTCACGAGACTAATGACCTTTGTAGTTGGCGCGCCCGGATTCATTAATCAATTAATTGAATGAAAAAAATTAAAATTTCAAATGACCTGGTGTGAAATAAATAATAATTTCAAATGACATAAATGAAATCAGCCCACGTTGGGCACTGTTCTCTCACAGAATCTTGCTTGTTTTGATATGAACACAAAGCGACATACGGAGTTCATCGATGCGCATTATTCATCGATGACGAAGAAAATGAAACGCTTAAAGATCTCCAGTGAAAAAGCGTACGAGTGTTGCAATCGTAGCTAGCCTAGGAGCAGGTGGTGGAGGGGGAATCGCTCTTCTCACTTTCGATTTGTTTTTCATGGAAGCAATATGAGTAGTGCGATGGCTGGCAGAGGAAGTCACAACCCCTTTTTCTGACGCACCGGATGCCATCTATCGCCGATGCAGTTGGAGATAAAAGATTTACAGAACTCCATACTTCTGAATGACACATATTTTAATACCTTTAATTTGTCGCAGTGGTTTCAGAATTTACATGTGGAAGTTTTTTTCAAGCTTCATAAAATGCACGCAGGGTTATATCTACGTTAGGGCAAACATATTGATCTGAGCAGCGTTTTTTCTGCAATGAAAATAATAAAAAAACAAAGAAAAAAAAACAACTTCATGAGAGATTGAAGAGCGTTCTACGCATCGCAACAGTCCAAGGAATGATATCAGATATTGCTTCACTTGCTAAGAAAAAGATATCTAAAATAAATTTAATAAAATATTATTGAATTGAATCGAATTGTACGTTTCCTGTTAAACATTAAGGTTTCTTTCTGCCCGAGTTGGAGCCCCGGGGTGCCCGCCACTTCTCAACCTAACCACTCCCTGCTTCCGCTATCGACGACGATTTGTCGCCAAAGGCCAAGGCCAAGACGCACTCCAAGAGATTATATTTCGCCAGGCGCCGGCCGCGAGTGTTGAGAGCAGTCTGTGCCCGCCGGAAACCAATGCCAGCGGTGGCTCGCGGGGTTTAAAAATATTTTTTTCAATTAACAGTTGAAACTCTGTGGCGGACTATGTAAAAAAGTGTATTCTGTGCACGATTTATTATATTCTGAGATCGCTACGCTTACTCGTATACAAGTTGAATTCTGAAATGGAAATAAACGATTTTGGCAAAAAATAATACAATATTCGCATGCGTATACAATCAACCAAATTTTGCCAATCGACATTGTTGCTTCAACAACGCCCATCTGGCAATAGCGGGTAGTAGCGACAGCCACCACGGCCACTGCTGCCGCTGTTGGTGTTCGTAACTTCCTACAAATGGTGGCTGATAGTGAAATGGACTAATACGGACAGCAATTTTGGTATTATAATATTAAGTAACCGGTGGTAAGTATTTGAAAGTACAAGCTGTTTTAGCCTTCATATTTTTCTTTCTCTTTTTTTATAGATAGAGCATCGGTACTTAAAAAATGGAATAGGTCACATTTTTTTGAATTTTTGGAAAATTTTGTAAATGTTAGAGATAACGCAAGAAATTCTGTTCTGTTGTAACGCATAGCTATTGTTGCTAATAACTTTCTTGGATACTTAATTTAGTGTTTGTTGTAAATACTTTTCTTAAATACTTAGAATAGTCAATGTAAAACTACTAAAATTGGAAAAGTTCAAATTGTTTTCGAATTTGTCCTTCATCTCTAATATTAAAGCTAACATATTTTAGAATGTAATATATTCGTAGTAAAGTATTTTTAAATTATTTATTACTTTTCTCAAAAGAGTAGTATTCGCGTCATTTGGATATGGTATAATTTAAATTTTTCAAATACAGGGCGATTGTTTATATGCCCCCTCAGTATTTTGAAGAACATTTTGAAAATTTTTGTTATTCATTGCAAAAATTTTGTTTAAACACTACTAATTCCCAGCAATTTTCATTGCCAACAGCTTCGAAGAAAATCGCAGTCAGGAATTCAAAAATATCACTAGAAACATTGTTTAAACTGGTGGTGTTTCAGAATGGAAAAGACGTTCCCGAATTCGTTTTCTATTTCCATTGGTCTTGACTAGCTACTCGGACTTGCAACATATTATTGCCAGTTGCCATCTATCGCATGTATCTATACCAAAGTACTTTTTAATTTTTTTTAACTTTTCGGTTTCCTAATAGTAGAATGGAAAAATAATTTTAAGAATATTAAAGAACAGTAAAACCTCGTCCTAAATGGCAATTTTCTTTGAACAATTTGGAGCTGTTTTTAAGAAAACGGCATTTAAGTGCTACTGTAAATTCGAAAATTAAACCTCTTTTCGAATAAAATTATTGAGTTTTCGAAAAACTTCATATGCCATCATTTCATGTACTTCCAGTCACAAATGCAATAGTGCTTACAAATCTCAGAAAATGTGCATATTAAAGGCGTAAGTGATCTTCAAAAAAGTACATTTGTGTAATTTTTGAAAAACAACAACAAATGAATACAGCAAAATTAATTCTATGTCATCTTAAACAGTGAAATTAGTACTATCTGTTGGAATCGTTTAAAAAATGGCCTTTGAGCGTTTCTGAAAATGCGGAATTTTGAGCTCATTTTCTCGGAAAACTGTTGAGTTTTCAGGGAACTTTATCTGATATTATGTAAAGCATATGTACTCAAATACATTAATGTAAAGACATTGCCGCTAATGTAAGTATTAATGGCGTGAGAGACCAGTCAAAAACATTACATTTTTGTAATTTATGGGAAAATAAAAGAATAGAGCAATATGGCGTTTATATTATCTTCTAGAGTGCATTTAGTACTATTCCTACCAAGTGTAAAGAAAAACTCGAAGACGTTTCTAAGAAAACATTGTTTTTATTATTTTTAAATTGCACATATTGCTGCAATATTGCACAGAAAAAGTCTAAAATGTAAAAAAAAATGCCCTTAATGAAGAACACTCTAGGGAAAACAGATTTTATTTGAAGCAAAAATTTTCAATCTTGTCGTAGGAAAACGCCCAAAAAATTTTGAAATTTTCTAAAATTCAAAGTTAAACTTGAAAATTGAACCTATGACACCTTAAAAAGTGCATTTTACACTTTTCTTACAAGAGATTTAAATATAATATTTGGAGCTGTTTTTGAGAAAAGTTTGAAACTGTCTGAGGATTTCTTTTTGGAAAAAAACTCCTACGTATGGTTTAGGCGCTAGTAGTGTTCAGTGACGGATACTATAAAAAAATTAACACTTTTTCGGTATCACAGGATCCCAAACGTGTATTTTCGTTGAAATCTCGAAATCGATTTTCCGTATTACATAACTTTCCCTACACTACGTATATACGTATGTAAATGGGAAAGTAAAAACAGAAGACTTTTTTGAAAAAATATTTTGCTTAATTTCGAGATACGTATTGGTTTAATTTTTTTGCCAATTTCTGGAAAAAAGGGGGTGTTAAATTTGAGAAAATACAATTGTTTCTTAATTAATGCATCCTCTTGTACGATCATTTCAAATACATTTTTAAGAATATTAGTAGGTTTCACAACTTTTTGTCATACGTATTGCATTCCTTAGTTAATAAAATCGAGTGCAGTATGATTATAGTGGTAGTACTTTAATATCAGGTGCAATATAATATGGTAAGTAGGAGTGTCATTCCCATTACTCTGCATTGTTTTTCCCACTGCTGTAAAATTTGATGCAGTTATATTTTAAACAGTTTTGGGGAAAGACAGCAACACAAGACCTTTACTGACTGGGAATGGATGATTCGAGTCCCGTCCACCGTGCCGTTCACATTGCAGAGCGCTCGTTAAAGTCGGAACGCTACCGTCGGTACAGGCCCGCCCAATACAAACCAGTTTATATTTGAAGTGCTTCTTGTAATAAGTGCAATAAGTGAAATGTAGTGTTAATCCAGTGCATCGAATACTTTCACCAATGGCATTCGATGTGAATCAATCAGCAGGCAACGTAGTCAGCAATTCCCCTTAACGTGCTACACAACTCCAGCGTTATTTCGCAAAGCAACTTCATCAATTTACCTACCACACACAGTGAAAGTGCCCCGAACGAGGGTACAGCCATGGAATCTTCTACATCAGAAACTTCATGTTATCAAGATCCATCGCAAGATACAACGCTCGTAACCTTGGGCATGAGGCATGAGGGAGATGCCAGCGTCAACCAATGAAAAAGGTCAATAGGCGAGGACGCTTCCAACAGCGATAACAAGAACACAGTGCAAGTGACAGTGACTATCTTAAAGGTTCTACATCAGATTTAGCCAGTACACCACCCACAGACGGCTACAATAGGCTTAGTAGCCCC